AAAGTCCGACAATTTTATGTTAACTTCTTCATTAAACTGTAGTATGAACTAAAAATAATCTACATTTCGTAAATCCATGGCTATCTAGGACGGAATTCAGCAGAATTTTTGTAATTACGATGGATAAGTTTGACCAATCAAAAGCTTGTATTTTTACACATCGCGAAATGCGATATGTTTACAAAAATACAGAATTTTGATTGGCTTAATTGAGCCAGTGTAATTGCGAAAATTTTGCGGAATTTTGTCCTAATGTCAGCAAGGATATAAATTTTTCACAGCTAGAGGACAATCAGAAAACTGCATTCGGCATGATTGACATGGAATTGTCAATCAACAAAATTGACGGAACGACATTTTGTCTGACCATTGAAGGGGGGAGGGACTTTATAGCTATTTTAAGTTGTAGTCAATTTTCTTATTATTTTATCTATAATGAGGTGAAAAATTTAAATACCTCCATAAAGTTTTGTTCTTCATTACTGAAAAAGTGAAGCATAGGGGGCCCCCAAAGAAGTTTTTGCCCCGGGCGCCAATTAGGCTAAGTGGGGCCCTGATTATGTCTCGAGAACCTTTCAAACAAATTGAAAAGTTTTTGCACGCAATTACAAAATTCGTTTATTCAGTGATAATTTCAAGCAGGAAATAATTTTTATTATTTTTTATTATTTAAATAAGGGTCGAAAAAATTTTGAATTGTAAAGCATACAAATTTTTACATAATTTTAAAGAGTATAATAAAATAATAAAGAGTATATAAAATATAAAATTTGAGCAAAATTGGTCGAACAGTTCCTGAGAAATCAAATTTCATATATCTGACTTTTTTGAAATTCAATTTCTTTGGAACTATTCAACCAATTTTGCTCGAAATTTGTGTTTTGACATGAAAAATTATACTCTTTAAAATAATGCAAAAAACATTTTATGCCTTACAATTCAAAAATTTTTTCGACCATTCTTAAATAAAATAATAAAAAATAATAAATACTTACTAAAAATATTTTTTTTCCATGGAATTATCTTTGGATAAACGAATTTTATAATAGTGTACAAATTTTTTATTTAATTTTCTTAAAAAGTTCTCGTGATATAGCGAAATATGCCAAAAGTAAAATTAACATTAAGAGGTCCAAAATTTTAAGCTCTTTCCTGACCAAACTATTGGGATCCTATTTTCCAGATTGCGGCTACCCCCTATATTTTGGGGGTCAGAAATCCGAAAAAAAAAGGGAGAAAAAAGGTATGTTTATTCTGAAAAAGTATGTTTTTATGTTTGATTTCGTATCTTAAAATATCATCTGCACTTATTAATTAGCATATTTGAGGTCACCCCTTCGAGCCATTAAGATTGAGTACTAGAACGTGAAGATCCGATTGTTAGGATCAAATCCTCTTCAGGGTGATCCGTTTTTTTTTCTTTTCTTTCCCCCCTTCGTGAGCTGTACTCTTTATATGTATGGGCGAAGCTGCAGTATCTGAGAGTGGCCTTATGGTTGTTCCTTCTCAGTTACTCTTATTCGCCCGATCTTAATTTTTGGCTGTCTCAAAATTTATTTCAGACTCTCAGGGTCAACTGTCAAGACCCAATTTTACCCCGGTTTCGATGTTATCGGGTACTTCAACACGATTTCAGCTTTTAATTTTGAAGTTTCATTGCCTTAATTATAGGTTATTTTGAGGCATTAATCTAAGTCAAACTTGTTTTAAAACAGACTCCATGGTGTCAGGATTGCTTAAAAATGTGTATCTCATGTGTAGTTCTGCTTTACCCTGTCCCGCCCCCCATTCGGGGCATCCAAGGAATACTGTTGAAGGATCGGTTTAGGCCAGATCCACAATTGTGTTTTCAAAAAGTCTTTTAAAAACCTCTTCAATTTCTTTGTTTGTTTTCTTTCGGTTCCAGTTTCTTTTAATGGTGTCGAAGTTGAAATTTCTTGGGAAATATCAGCTATGTGTAGTTATCTCATGTGTATATCGGGAAAAAATGTGCCGTGGAAAAAAAGCGGAAAGAAACACTGCAAAAAAAAAAAAAAAATTCGCAATGCAAAACTGAGCCCAAAAATTCGTTAAATATCATTTTAAAAACTGATTAATATGGAAAAATTAATTTGCAGTTTACGGACAAAAACTTTACATAAAGATTTTAATTAAATTATTAGGAACCTTAAGGAATTAAAAAAATATACTTAATTACACTAATTTTACCTATCATATTGTGATATAATAATCATGGGCAAATAAAATTTAAAAAATTGTCTTAAAGTGGAACACTTTATTAGTTTTTTTGATAATATTAACTTGAAACTAATTTTTCCTAATTTTTTTTTCATAATGTTTATTTTGTCTTCTGAAAATTATGCTATTCAAAATATTATTCACAGTTAACAGTGAAATAAGCAAGGGATTTGCGTTATGTTCATGTATAATATTATTGTTATTTAAATACAAAAAGTTTGTATCTATATTTGTGTTTGCTGAAATAAGGAGAGGGGTTTTAAATTTTGAGGGAATACTCCATCAGCTTAGAGGGGGGGGGGTGAGCATCCTTCAGTTCCTGTATGATGAAATATTTCGCCATTCTTAGTTAAAAGGGTTAAGGGACACTTTTATTTTTAAGCCTTTAATTTTGAATAATAATGCAAATAAAAAAAATCAATGATAAAAGACAATATTGCTTGCAAGCACTGCTAAATAAGAGATAAATTAATAATTGAAAAGTAAATTCTTTCATATCTTCAAAATTTTTTATGTTGATTACAGCCAAAAGTATCTAGATCTCCTTTGCTTTACTTATCATACCATGTGATTTTACTGTTTAATTAGAATGCTCGAAAGATAATAAATATCTTTTTATGTTATAAAAAAATAAAATGAATCGGATAAATTCCTTCACTTAATCTTATAATTTAAACTATGGACACATTTATATGTATTTAATAAGAAGTTGTATGTGGATACAAAAATGTGCTGAACGAATTAGCGTTTCCTAATGAATGTTACGTAATTAAATAACCATATAAACTCCATATGTGTCCAGAGAAAGCATATCAAATAAAAATTGATATATAACATCATTAAGAAGCGTACAAATTCTTCCAAGGTCTATAGTTACTTTAGCTGCATTCTGACACACTTAAATAAAACATAATAAAGTATTTTTTTATATTTTATTATGAAACTGTAAACATCAAGTATAGAATTAACAATAAAACCTTTTCAGAGAAAAAAAAGGTTTATTTCGTAAAATAATTGATTTCGATGAATATATGCATTTTTTTTTTTTTTTTTTTTTTTTTTTTTTTTTATAGTTGACCTGTATTATTCGCGAACCAAATGAGGATCTTGAAGTGTTAAAATTTCTTTCTTTTTTTTTTCTTTCTTCCCGATCAGCTCTTGTTGAATTAAAGAACAAAAGCTTTCGTTTCAGGTGACGAAATAATCACAATAAATAAACAATGAGTTATGAATTATCATTTTTAGAAGTTTAGAACAAGTATTCTATGAATTGTTACTATGCCATTTAACCATTATAATCAATATTAGTGTAACTTCCAACAAATTTGATTTATTCCATCGTCTCTCTGAAGAAAAATAAATAAATTCAAACACCATATGCTTATTTCTTTCACCACCATTAGAGTAACCAAATTGCTTGCGGGAGAGACAAAAAAAAATTTTTTTTTCAAACTTTGTTTATTTAGATCATAAAAGATGGCAATAGAAGGATTAAAATCCAATTTATTTGCGAAGGAAGCTTTAAAGTTTTCTAAAAAAGAAGGACATTCCCAAGTAATATAAAATGTCCGAATGTTAATGTAACATTTTACTGATGTCAGACAGGTATTGGAATATTCAAATGATAATTGGGTATTTTGTGTTACTTATGTCACACTTACAACAATAGTGATTTTATTTTAGCATCTCACTTAGCTCTTCCTGTGTCTTCAATTAACATTGACCCCGTCTGCAAACGTTTTCGTTCTTTCCCCTCACCTAAATATTTATTTGTTACTTCTAATGTGAATTTTTTTTGGAGAAAATTTGCTTGTTCTCATAAATTATGGTTGTTTATTTGTATTTTTAATCATGATAGCTTGTAATTAATCATACTTTATTGCGATTAGTAGTAATTATGACTACTTTAAAATGAATGTTACAAAGTGATAAAAACTTCAAAACATGATAACAATTTTTAAAAACTACATTTCTCAGACAAGGCCACAGTTTTTATCCAAAAAACTGCCAAATTTTCCTTAAAAAATGAAATTAATTATTTGTATTAGCGTTCAAATGGAGCAATAGAAATTTAAATAAATATTTTCTGAATCACGAGATTCAAAGAAATATCTTCATCTATTATTTGTTTCCATAAAAACAAAATATGATCGAAAATACTTTGCTTCACTCACCGGAAGTAGAAACGATCGAGTTCCATCGTTTGTTTATGTTTACTTTTGTATAGAAAACGATTTCTTAATCGTAACACCATAAATTCACTTTGACCGTGACCAACCTTTCAATAGGTTTGTTTATTTTTGGTGTTGCGAATCTTTAGAATTTAACAAATTAAAATGTGAAGTGAATAACTAGTGGGTGTGCGTTTCGCTGCCAGAAAGAAAAAAGATATTATATTATTTAAGAAACTTGTGTGATTTCTCATCATACAGGTAGGATCAACTGTTATAAATAAATCTGTTATCATATAAAACTTTTCAATATCCAATGCGAATCTTTCTTATTTTCCTTAAACGCAGTTTCTTATGATCTAATTTTCTTGACAATTTGTAACAGTATTTAATTAATATGACATTTCAATTGCTCATGATTATATTCATGATTTCTTTTTCAAGTTCCGAGTTTTCTTTCTTATTATTAATAAATACCCTTATTCGTTAGTAATAGAAGAGTGTGAAAATATAAAGAGCTGAGGCATAATAAATATTATGAGAGAAAGTCTTTTTATTTTTTATTTTTTATCCACTTTAAATCAATCGAGATGTGGCGGCGGAGTGAAGAGAAAGGAATGTAACCCATTGTTGGATTCGGTTGGGTAGTTCCAGCGGTCCGCAACTTAAAATTTATGTCCTCTTATGTTAGAACAACAGTAGACATGGTTATGGAAAAATCGCTGTACCTGTAGCATGTGTTTTGTGTGCTCGCATCCAACTTCTTACCTTTTATGTCACGGAGTCTCATCTCTCGAATCATGGACGATAATCACAAGTCTGAACAGTAATAATCTTCTACATTTTTTTTAGGAATATTTTTATTCTTATTAATGTGTAATTTATGATTGAAAATGTATATTTTTGTAACACAATGGTATAAATCTGTTTTCCTCAAATTTTTAAGTTCTCCAATCCAAATTCATACAACACAGAATTTTTGCCTAAATTTATAGTAGAGTAATAACCTCAATTTATTTTTTTTAGATTTTTGATAACATGGGTGCCACTTGAATTCCATACTACAATTAATATCTTTCCAATTTGTTTTTTAAATTTTTAAAAAAAAATTCTTTTTTTTCCCTTAGAAAATTAAATACAATTGATTATTTGAAGTTTATTGTTTGTGCTTTAATTATTTCAATTGTTATATCATTTAAAAATTTCATATATCATTCGAATCAGATTTTTAAGTCATTAATCTTGCATCAAAACATAACCTTTGCTATCAGGATAAAATTTTCTTTAGTTACTACTTCAGAAATTCCATAGCCATTGAGAAAGTTTCTGCTATTTAATAAATTCCCCTCCCTAGATCATGTTAGATAAAATAACTTCTTATTTAAGTTTAATTTATGATGATGCATTTGATATTCTATTATGGGTATAATTTTTTTTTTAATAAGTTTACTGTGAAAATACATTAAAATGAATTAAAGAATCATTTAATTTTTAGCAGGGCAAAATGTCCAATAAAATGTGTTAATAATGCTTAAAATTTCTTAAGAACAATATCAAAGTGAAAATTTATTACTAAAATGGTGAAAATTACTAATTAATTATTAAAAGCTTGACTTGCTAATGAATGTTAAAGATTGGGCGACTATTTGTCAATTAGATATCTAATGTAGAGCAAATTAGTTGAGATATTATAAAATGTAATAAAAAAAAATATTTTAAGTTACTCTGGGTAGAACAATTCTTGATATACCCTAACTATATATTTAAATAGTTTTAAAAGCACTGCATTTAAATGAGTAAAACTAAATGGGTATTATTGAAATATTTTGATTGCAGTAAATTATTTTACCTTGCATTTTGGGAAATATTATAATTTAAAAGTTTCATGCCACTCTTATCTATGTTTAGTCTTTTATTTATTTATTTTTTTTTTTTGTATATTTTAAAACATTTTAAGTTACATGCATATCATTTTCATAATTTCTTAGTAAAAATTTTCATTATCAATGAAATGTGCCTTAAAAAAATTATCCCCTTCATTATGTATTTTTTAACTACATTGAATTAAAAATATTTTATACTTAAATTGATATTTAAAAAAAATATTTAAATAATTATAAATTTTTTAAAAGAATGACTGTTAATTTTTTATTCAGAGCTTTTTTAGTGAAATAATAAAAGGAATATGCATATAAGCATATTAATTTACATGCATGTCCCTTATATTATTTTTTAGTAAAAAGCCTTCATTATTACTGAAATCACACTAAAAAATCACACTTTAAAGAATGTGTTTATTAGTTATATTAACAGGGATCTATCTATGTTTTTCTGAGAGGTACCTATTTTGTGAAAATTTAGACTTAGTTTGTGAATATTGAAAATTATATTAAAAAATCAACACAAAAATATGGCAAAAATATAAATTTATCGTTTCTTATGAGACTCAAAAAATAAAATTAAAAAAAGAGTATTTTGTGAAACTACCGTTTTTCCAAAAGTTGAATTTGTGAAGATACCGCTAAATGGTAGTAAATTTGGCTTTGACAGACCCCTGATTAAACAAAAATACTTCATACTTAAATTAAAATTATGATAAAATAGCTATTTCTGAGCCTCATTAAATGCATTTTTAAATAAAAAAATTATTGAAACATATAATTAATATGAAATGAAGATATTTTAGAGAAATAGAAATGCAGGTTTAAGGGCTCACAAGCACGGTCTCTATAATAAGAAAACTCCCCTAGCGGCGTACAATAGTTTCCTAAGCAATTCCTTATCCTTATGATGTGCTTGTAGTTTGTCGCAACATTTACATGACATCCTTTATGTTGACTGTAATTGTTTAAACTTGTTTCGACCAAGTTTTTAAAAAAGGTATTCTCTCGTTGTCAACAGTGAACACCAAGAAGGTGAGGATTCTTCTGTGCAAGAAGAGTCGGATGAAATCCTTCTGCCCAAATCCTTGTTGAAGGAACTCTCTGATGGCAGACGATCATCTCTGGCTGATCGTCGAGACTCAGAAACCTTATCAGAAGTGGAAGAAGAATACCTACGCAAAATGCTCTCTGGTATCTGTGGTTTATTTTAATACAGCAGAATGTCATTGTAAAATGAACTTGTTCTAATGATTGAATTTTCACAGTGTCTCTCTTAATAATATTTAGTTCAGTAGGAGTTCGAACTGATTTCACTTTTAATGTATTTCACTTTATTTTTTGAAGGTTTTAAGCAAAGTGTCCTAGAAGAAATAGTTTTCTTCTGGAGGAAATACCATCCCTGGTTTTTTTAGGTCTGAGTTTTTTAACTTAATTAATAGTTAGCACTATTGTCATATTTGAGGCATTAGTATTAAGTTGGGATATAGATAGATGTCTTATAAAAAAGGATTTTTTCAACCTTTACATCTTTATACATATTTTTTGTCCCACAGTCGACTCCTCGCAAAGACACATTCCCAGTGAAAAACTAAAGTCAAGAATCACTGGCTGTAGTTCGTAAGCGGGTGGGTGCGACGTAAATAAAGTACCTACCTGCATGTTTTTGCTCTCTTTAATTTTTTTTTTACCACCATTCTAATTTAGGCTATTTTTTTTATATTGAAGTCGCTGCATAGTATTTAGAAATTATTTTGTCATTATTAAAAAGCTAATTATTGTAAGTAATTTTGAATTATAGGTTTCATATTAAACTATATTTTGATTAAAATGAAATTTGGGTGTTTTTCAGACACTACACAAATTTATTGTAAAACCACTTGAAGAAATACTATTATAAATATGAAAAAGTAAAACAAACTAAGTGTGTAAACTGCATATAGCGTGATAACTTAAAATAATAAAAGCAAAAGGAACAACTTCAAAAGTTCAAAATAGAAATACTTACGAAACAAAATACTAAATAAATTATGCTCAAAAGTTATTAGAAAAATTTAAATTCAAATCAAAATTAATTGCAACAAGAAGGAAAATAATACTAGGGCATTGTTTTCGATACTATAAAAACTACACAAGTACAAATATAAATGAGCAAAAGTAAATCAAGCTTGTGATATTACTCATAATATTAAAAGAAAAAAATGGTAAATCTAAAAAAATCTAAGTAGAAACAGTAACAAAACAAAGCACTAAAGCAGCTTGACAAGATTATCATTTTAATAGAAAGCTAAACAAGACGAAATAAGAAATATCGTAGTGTAAGCAATTTGTTTGTGCAAGGCTTAGTAAATTTCTGCTATTACTAATTACTACTATTCAATATATTTTGGATTATTTAAACTGTAGTTTAATAATAATCATGTAATTCATTCTTTTAATAATGACAAAATACTCATTTATTATGATTTACTGCTAAATACTTCAATCAACGATTCTTGTATAAGGCGGTACAGAGTTAGTTAAAATTGCGGCCAGTGCCCACAATGCCACCAATCAAAAGATTCAGATTGAAACTCTAGCTGCAAAATAGTAATTCGAAGAACTATGGCTCCAAAAACTGTTGAGAATATAGATATCGATCGAATATAGATATATATAGAATGTAGATAAGATCCCCGAAGCAAAGTCCATTTTCAATCAAAAAGTACAGATTCTCTCTAAGGTAGATCCTGGAACTATAGATCATGAAGAGTTCAGAATGCCACCGTAAGTAGTGGAACATAATTTATAAGTTGTATACTTTTCTCCCTGTAGGCAGAGTAGCATTGTTTATTAACAATAAGAGTAACATTAATAGTTTAATAAGCGAAAAAATATGATTATGCTAGTGGGATTTTAAATGTCCCACAGTTGGTTTTTTAATGAATTTTTCTTCAGAGCAAATCACCTATACACAAATATTATTGTCTTTGATGCTGTTTCAAAGAGAGATTCAAATTGTCGATTTAAAGAAATGGCAAGTGTGTACATTAGTAGAAGAAAAAATAAAATACTTGTGTGATAAAGCATCTAATCCTAAACTGTTGAACTGCAGAACAGTTCAATTAATCATTGTTTATTTTAAGTTCGATTAAGAAATAAAAAATTTGTAGAGTCGTTATAAGGACAGATTGGCAAAAACTGTATGTGTTTAAAATTAAGAGCTACTTCACTTAATGTCTTGCTTTTAAATCCTTTCAAATTGTGCTTGTGAATGGCATTATTCGTATGTTAGGGCAATTCCAATCAACTATACTAACTAATACTTGGCACATTTGTCTTTTCTAGATGGCCAAACTGCAGTCAATAAAGAGTTATAAGACCGTAAATAATTTTAGTTCAATCTTTTTAAGAATTTGAAAATACAAATAGTTGCATTGTTGTAAAATGATTCCAGTATGCTTTTCGACATAAGAAAGAACAATTATTTTATTGCTGGCAAATATTTTAAAATTATGCATATTACTTACCTGTATTTGATGATTTAATGCAAATTGTGGATCCAATAATTGAATGAAATTCTTTTATTGATCACACGTAAAATGTACTGAAATTTATAATTGCAAATGATAAAAAATGCTTTCAAAAATATTAATGTGTGAGTATTTTGAAAACAAACTAATTAACCTATGCAGAAAAAGTTTTCAGACACTTCGTGGTACCTAAAATAAATTTTGATGCTACCGATTAAACAGAAATAATTTTTGGGGGTAATTTCCAGTTATTAGAAAATACTAAGATGATATTAATATTTAATATGATTATATTTTTTATCATATTGATTTTTATATTGATTTTCATATCACTTATTAATTGAAAAAAATTTGCATTAAATTTTTTTTCGTAGTCAAGAAATGTGTCCATCTGATTAGAATCCTCCTCCATAATGAAACGACTCTGCTTTTGTCTCTAGCTTTTGCTTGAATAATTCTTTGTCTTGATCATAATTCTGCAAATTCCTTGAAATTATAATAATCAGCTATTAGTTGAACAATTCTGCAGTTAGACACTGTAGAGATTGATGTCAGGTTTGCAAGCAATACAATTTTTGTTATAGTGTCTTGACATTCTAAATAAAATTGATACGTTTGGTATTTGTTGGGAATTTGAATTCCTTTAAGAATTTGAATTCCGTTTGAGAACAACACAAAAAAATCCTTATTTCGATAATTTGCTTTTAGGAAATTTTCTCAGGCATTCAAAACCCTCTGCAATCCCTGTACAAGTTTAACATGTTCACACTGGGAAAAGTGAAAATACTGGTACAGATAAGGGGAAATGGTGGTAGAAGAACTATTTCAATATTAGATAATATTTGGGAGGAGCTAATCTATTCTCAACAATAACAATTCACTGTAAGGAAATTTATCACGGCGAAGAAGCAATTCAATATAAAAATTGCATCCGTTAAAAACAATCGGTAGTTATGGATTTTTATTATTCCCGCAAAAAAACTAAAAAATGATATTTATTGTTACCACTATTTACTCTGGTGCGCTGCCAAGATGAGACAATCTAGCGTGACCCACCGGTGGGTCACCCCGGCGTGAACGTGTTAATTGATATTAAATATTTAGCAAAAATATTCAATTTTATCAGATATTATAAATTTAAAGTACAATGCAAGATCGGAAGATATTAACCAATTTTAAAATATTTTATATTAATTTTCTTCTTTTTACATTAGCCTTTTTCTTCTCTTTAGTGTTTTGAATTTTTTTTTTTCTTCCAATGCCTGCCTGGGAAATGACCTAGGTCATACAGGCATCTGAAGGGCAGATTTGTTGGCTACTTTTCGAGGGGCACCCTATTAGGTGGGCCCATGTTTCTCCCACAGTAAGGACAGATAGTACAGAAAATGAAAGAACATCCATGCCTTGCCCGGGATTCGAACTCAGAACCTTTCTGATGCAAGGTCAGTTCCCTGACCCCCACACAGGCTGGTCGGCACGTTCTGAAAATAAAAACTTGGATTTTTTCGGCCCACCCTATATTTATTTTCAACCCTTTGAGCCATTAGGATTGGCACTTATTCATTTAGATCATTAGAGCAAAATTTATTTAGAGTGACTTTTTTTTCCATACTGTACTATTGTTATTCAAAACTCTCAGATCATTTTATGGATTGCTAAATAATGGTAATAATTCCATTACAATAAACAATAATTTCTTTCAAAATAATATGAATAAACAGATTTTCTAAATTTAATTTTAGCAACAAAAAAAAAAGAAAAAATATTTATAAAGCTAAAATCATGAGAATTAAATGAAAGGTTTGCATATTTTCAGAAAGAAGAGGATCCTTTCGTCCTCAGCCAAAAGCTACAGTTCCTTACCAAGTGAGTAAAATTATAAATGCATATTTTTATTTCCATAATGAAGATTTGTCTGTCTAAGATAATGAGAGACCACTCTATTTCTTTTTGCATTGCACTAAGGAATTTTTGTTTTGTTTTTCACACAGTTTTAAAAATTTCTGTTTTCAGTTAGTGCAGTCAGAAAGAGTTCTCTCTCTTTAGAGTGCCATAACAAGATTTCACCCATTAAAGCATTTGTTGCATTCAAGTTTATTACGTGCAACAAATTTTCTTTAAATTTCCATTTCTTTTAAAATTTGAAGCACTTATTTATAATTTAATTCAATACAATACTAAATAAAAACATGAAACAAATATATACAGAATAACAGAAACATAATACTAAAGAAATAAATTGAACATGTCACTTTTGGATTCCTAGGTCTGTGCCAGTGACTGCTGATTGAGTTTATACATTATAATAAATGAAAAAATTACATAAAAAATATAAACATGTACGCATGGAAAACACAAAAGAGTTAAGAGCTAAGTTTGAAGAGTGACAAGAAGGAGTGTCTGTTTTAAAGCTGCAAGTTAAATCAGTCATATAATTTCAAAATTAGAACTATAAAAAAGTTATTCATAAAAAAGATAAAGGGTTTATAGAATTTATGTTAAAATATCTTTATTAAGTAGAAAAAATTAAGTTATTTGCATTTTAAATTTCAGCTCAGAATAAATCTAAGTATTTTGGAGATAGATACTGTAAACTTCTACAAAAAATGTTCTTGTTAGTCTTGGGTATGAAATAAATTTGGTAAGATCTTCTAATGCTAGTTGTGTCTTTTTTGTTACAAGCATTTGGGGTTTTGAAAAGATGCCGATTTTTTTATTTTTATGAAGTGTTCAAGTGATAAGTTATATGAAGGTCTATTTCATTGCTATTAGTGAGTTGGAAAATCATGAAATTTTTTAGTTGATAAATAAGTTTAAAGAATAATCAATAAACCGTTCTCGGATTTTGTAAAGATTGTCATTGATTTTTCTTTCTAAGTTTTTTAAATTATTTGATAAGAGTGTTGTGTCATCAGCAAAAGTTTTTAATAAAATAATTACAACTTGAAAAAGATCATTAACTGGCCCAGGAACCAGGCCCAGAGGCCGCCCAAGATAAAGGTAGAAGGACGACATAATTGACGACTTGAAAACAATGAAGATCCGTAGGTGGAAAGTGAAGTCAAAACAAAGGGCTGTATAGAATAGAACAGTGGAACAAGCCAGGCCCTACAAGGGACAACAGAAGAAGTGGAATCACTTCTTTAATGACATTATAATGTTGATTAGGCCTTAACTCTAAGCCCCTTAGAAAAATGTTACTGTCATTTCTTTTCTACATTCTTCCTCATTGAATGACATGGAGAAAATTAGTTTTGAAATGCTGGATGGAAAACTTGCAACTAAAATTAAAAGAAAAGAGGAAAGAAAAGACTGCAACTATCTCTCAGAGGATTAAATAACTTTAGGTAATTTCTGTTTTATTAATTTTGCTTTTTTTTTAGGTAATATCAGCAAAAAACAATTTAAATTATGTAATAATGAAATTTTTTTTAAAAATTTGTTTTTTATTATTCTGATCCTATGTTTTTACTTTCTATCCCAATATTCATTTATAGCAGGCAAAAAGGTCTTTGTAATTATCTTTTTCACTTATTATTTTTTTTGTTCTGTCATACATAATTTATTACAAACACTTTTAGATCGTAATGTCTCGACAGCATACTTCAGTATCTTATGTATAAAACACCATTATTGGTAATTTTATTTAATTTAAGACTTATTTATACATTATTAGAGATTTCTTTCTTTTTGCTGTTCAGATTAATTTATTTTAATTATGCCACTTTATTTGTTCTGTTCAATTTCTAATTTTTTCTCTCGAGGTGCAACCATCAGACACGCTTGAAGGGATTGCCATCAGGTACAACATCACGCTTTCCGAACTCACCGTTTTGAATAAATTGAGCTCAAGAGTGGTTTTCCCTGGTCAGGTAACTCACTTTTGGAAAAATGTATTTGCTATTTTTTTTTCTTTAAACTTATGTTAAATAATATTTTTTTTTGGACATTACAGACAATTTATATACCTGAGAAGAATAGTCTTCAAACTTTGGAAGAAATATTGAAGCAAAGTGCTGCTGCTGTTGTAAGTTTTATTTTATTAATTATTTTTGGTAAGACATAAACAGGGTGCGTAGCGTTTTTAAAAAGTTCTTGAAGGTGATTATTTTCGATTTTCGTTTGTTAAAGGCCCTTGAAGGTGCTTTTTTCCATGGATGTTTTTTAAAAAGTGCTTAATTTTTCCTTTTCCGAGATGTGATATTTTTCTTTACCATGTTGATTTTTGCCATAAATTATGCAAGAAGACATTGTCATATTCAAAGTTTTCACAATTAATTCAACCCCAATCTATTTCGGCGTAGCGTCGGTCTGTAATGTATGAAAACACCATTTTTTTTAGTACATGTTTGATGATATACCTGCGGGTCTGCACTTGCGCATACTGAGCTGGATTCAGTGGTAAGGATTTTTGTCTCTTCTGTGCAACCCTACTGCATTTTGCAAGAGATTTTCAATTTCAGATTTCATTTTCCGTCCTTTGTAATAGAATCAAAAAATCTCCCAAATTTTTGCTGATTACGGGGACCAACTAAACATTGTCAATTTTTTTTCTCTCTATTAGCGATACAAAATTTAATTTCTCTTGTTAATTTCATCATTTGTGACGCGCTATCGTCTTCACCACTGTAAATAAAACAGGATAAAACCATCAATTGTCAAAAACTTGCCAACCCTGTCTAATTATGATATTTTTCAAAGTGCTTAAAAATACTTTTGAGTGCTTGAAAAGTGCTTATTTTTTGTTGAAATATTTGGCTACACACCCTGATAAAGTTTTTGTTAAATTATGAGTTATGCGTTTTCAGCTTGATTATTTTAGTGTTCTTTCAAGTAAGTGTTTTATGATATGTTTAAATTTTTGTGAAAAAACCATGCTCTCTCTTTGTAATGGTAGGCATCTTCATCAGAACAAAATAGCCCTAAACCTGGTCACGTAGAACGTGTGCCTGGAACAGATGGTGAAAAATCAACAGCGGAATTATTGGAAGGAAAAAAGGATGATTTAAATTTGGAACAAACAGATAAAAGTGTTTCGGAAGGAACAAAAGAATCTTTGAGAGTGAATTCCAAATATGTGACAGATGGTGAAGTAAGTTTCTTTGAGATGTTATTGTTTTGAAATATATATTCCCTCAAATTGTTGATTTCTTTACACTGAATTCTTATGTAGAAATGATATTACTTTTCAAATATTAAGCTAGCTGGTAGGAGGAAACTGCCTTTGTATTGCTTTATTAAACTGTTTGGTTGAATCAGAGATTAAGAACATAATTAAATTTAAATGAATTCTATACTTTTTATTAATGTATTTAAAGATTAATTATTTTATGATGCTCTCCCTCCTCTATCTTCTTTGTATTGGCCCTGCATGTTAATATATCATGGGTACAACTCCAAAAAAATTTCGAGACGACTTTTTTTTGACCCGTTAACAAGGTCTAGTGTTGTTTTCCAGCATTTTTAGAAATTTATGGCTCACTGCCTTCAAAATGTACTTTGCCAAAATAATCACTCATATGTTAAATCAATAATTTTATTATTTTTACTAAAATATTTTTTATTTTATTATTAATTAATTTTTTTACAGCAAACAAAATAAAAATAACAGCAAAGCTTGTACACCTTTTTACACCAATCATTGAATCATAAACTACAAATTTTCTCATGACGCTATTCACATCTCTACTTATTTTTTATTTCACCATTATTTATCTTTTGTCCCATCTCTATAAATTTCTTTTTTTTTTTCCAAAGAAAATAAATAAATAAATAAATCTTAATTTAACTTTGGCCCACATTTCAAAATGATGGGGAAAAAATGAAAAGTGAAGCAATTTTAGATATAACAATAGTACAGATTTTGTTTAAGCTAGCACGATCTGAAATTCAACCAAACCACTTCTTTTACTGCTTTGTGACATCATTGCTTGATCATTTCGCAATAATTATGCAAAATAACAATCTTTAATATTTTAATTTTATTTTTAACAAAAAATATTTGTTACATTTTTAAGGAAAAAAGAAAATTTTAATCTCTCTTGAACTTTGATTGATTAAACAACCGGAAATGGGTATTTATTTTAAACTTGTATGTTTTCAGCCAAATTGTTTTATTTAATTAATTAAATTGCTCTTGTTATGTATTTTCATTCTAAATGCAATGAAACATTTGTTGTATTTCAAGGGTGTAGTGAATGGTGTTCTAATTGTTACTTCCAACCACATTATTTTTGATCCGAACGTGTCAGATCCTTTGGTGATTGAATATGGAATGGACAAATATGGTGTGGATGCACCCATGGCCTACATTGTCCGAGCTGCTCTCTATACGGACATCTTTCGAATGCGAACCAAAGATCCCTCTCTCTCAAGGTAAGGATCTTTCAATTCAATTTTAGTTGTTTGATTTTTATTTAGTTTATTTTGATTCTTTACGGTAGGGTTAGAAATTTAAAAAAAACAATTACCCTTCCACATACAAAAAAGCATTACTAGTCTGTACACGCTTTCACTAATGGAGGCATTTAAATGTCTTATTTTTCTTTACCTTTTCTATTGTTAAAAAAGTTAGGGTAAAATTACAATATGAAGAATGTAATGTTCGCAATTAAAATGAACTATGATAATTATGTTACAATTAATTACACAGACCAAGATATATATAAAACTGAGAATCAAAAAATCGGTGTACCCTTTACATCGATTTCTAGTCCCGGGAACCCTGATAACTATTTTTTGGTGGCTTGAATCAAAGTTTTATTGTCTCAGACCACCCAATCACCTTTAACCCTGTATGTAAACCTGTTTCAAACCCTGTTATGATATAGCTTTAATTTTACTGAATTTTGTAACAGACTACTGGATCTTGCCAGTTTTTGCTGATCTGCAGGCCTAATCAAACATTTTCCTGTTTTTTTAAAATTTTTTATAAAAGTCCCCGAAATTCAAGCATTTCTATTAAAAAAAACCCATACTTTGGCCACTTTTTAGCCAAGCATTTACCATGCCACTCGTGAAAATGCGCAAATCCTTTGAATGTGCAAATCATAATGAAAAGCAATTTCCAAAATAAACATTCTAAACACATTAAATTTATCAAATAATAATAAAATTATTTTTAATAAAATGTAAGTGTTAAAATACGTAATAAAAAGAATAAGAATATATTAAAAACCTATTTTTTTAAATAATTACTGATAAATGAATTGAAAATATGCCACTGCACTCTCTTCGGTGCTAGGAAAATTCTGAATTCGAATCATTTTGCAGAAAAAGCAGTATATTTCAACACTTTAAAGAAAATTAACTCTCATAGTCAAGGATTAAACAGTAGATAAAATTTGCTTTTTTTTTGTGCTGGAGCTACTTTTTGGTGATATTAGGTTTGGCAAAAATGGTTGACAGGATAATCCCAAAGTGCCAAAAAAACTTTCAAAAAGTATTTTTTATTAAGATTATTGATTTCTTTGGAATTTAAATTATAATATACTATATAATGTGGTGAGTCAGTCCCATTAATCAAAATTAACTGAAACATTTTCTTTGAATTTTATAATTTTTTTATTGAGCTTCTTTTATATCAATTTAATAAAAAAATTTTCATTTTCTTTTGATCCAATATTGCATTTAGTTCAAAATTTCCTCTGTTTAAAATGTATTTAAAATCTTTTATTAATCAATACGATAATTTTAAAACCTTACTAAATATAATATTAAAAAAATTAATCTCAATTTTTTTAATATCATCACAAAATGCTAGGAATCAAACTTTTTTTAAAGGTTCAAAGTACAGTAAAAAAGTGGAATTTCTTAGAGCCCTCTATGACTTTATAAATTTTTTTTTCAATTTTTATTTATTTTCTAGAATAAATTATTATTATTATTTTTTTTTTTAAGAGTTGGGAAAATGTTTAATTTTAAAGTAAAAATAATTAACCTAACATATATATAGCTAACATACATTTTCTTACTGAATACCATTATGTTAGAGGAATGATATTTAAAAAAATACTATCCTCATATTATTTTCAGTTTATTAATTACTTACTGCTTAAGTTTTTGAACTTAGCCTTAAATTAAAATATTTAAATGAAAAAGATCTATTTTCAAATATCAATAGTGTTTTTCTCTTTATTATTGAATTTCAAAGTTGTTAATTGTTTTGCAATGTTCATTAATTACTTACTTACTCATACACCACTACAGCCCGTTATGAGTCTTGGCCTGCTGAACAATATTGTTCCAAACTTTCCTATTTTTGGCTTTCAATTTCCAGTTTTTCACCTTCAAGGTGCTTAGATCTTTGGTGATATTGTCCAACCATCTCTTTTTCGATCTTCCTCTCTGTCTGAAGTTTAAAGGTTTCCATTTTAAAAGTTTTCTGAAATGTCTATTTTCATTTAATCTTACAATGTGTCCCAACCATGTCAAAGGTCTTAATTTAATAAATTGAATTATGTTTTCTCATCAGATAAATAGTCAAGTTTACTATTGTTTCTTATTCTCCACTGTGTATTATTTACTTTAATGAGTTAAAAATTATTTTCAAGAATTTCCTCTCAAAGATTAGTTGATCGAATTATTTATTTGTAAAGTTTCACTGCCATATGCAACTATAGGCCTGATAACTGTTTTATAGATCTTTAACTTGATTTCCTTAGTAGGAAGTTTCTTGCATAAGTATATATTTATTTAGTTTTGGTATCCTTGAGTATAGTCTGATATGTTATTAGCGTCATTAATAGTTAGATAAAGGTAAAACAAAGGTAGATAAGACTGGAAACTCTTTCAATTATCTATCGGAAGTGCTGATAAAAGAGTGGTAGATTTTGTTTGTGTCATTATTTTTTTGTTCATCAATAATAATTATCTCACATTTTAAATCTGATGAATATAGGGATTATGGAATTAATTCCTTCTGTCAAAAATGTTTAGCTTTATTACTCATCACGTTTAGATTTTAATATTATTGAAATGTTTTTTTTTTATTTAATTGGAAGCCATTCACTAATTTACATTTGTAATATGGCTTTTGAAGACTTTCTTAGTTTGCTTGATTTTACACATCTTTATCAATAATATTAACCTCTTAAATGTTTTTGTTGAGTATACATTTATATGTAAATTCTGTTTAAATTTTTAAAAATTGACCATATAACTGTTTTGAATTAAAGTGTAGCTAATTGTAATTTTGATTTAAAATTAATTTTCATGTGTAATTGAATAAAGTAATTATTAATTTAAAAAATGGAATGGGCAATTACATAGTGAATGTATATAACATTTTGCACAAAATGTTTTTATAACAGCTAGACTAATCAAGAATGAAGTTCTTTTTCAGAAATTAGTTATTTTACCAGGATTGTGTAAATTCTTTAACAAAGTTTTTGCATTTCATTAATTTTAAGCCGAATATATATTTGAAGACTTTCAACTATAGGAATTTTTTTTATATATTTGAAAGCATATCTTAATTATGATTTTTTTTTTGTTGTAAAAAATCTGCTTAAAAATATTTTTTGAGTATTTAAAAAGTGCTAAAAAGTTGCTTACTTTTTGTTGAAAAACTTATGGTGGCTAATGTTTCGACTATTATAATTATGGTGGCTAATGTTTCGACTAAAAATAAGTGAGTAAGTCCCAGTTTTGACCCCACTGACCCTGACAGGATAAATAGGGTAAAAATTTTTTCTTTAACAGCCCTTTTTTTACGTAAATTTTAAGAAATATTAACATTTTGTTTCTTTTTAGTAGTAATGAGACCAAAGTAAATGTTTACCACTCCAAAAATCTAAGCATGAAGAAAAGCAAGTCTCATAATGAGAAATTGGGAAAACCGGAGAAGTCAAAACATGGCCGTCGCTTTAGCTCGTTTGAAATAGGATCAAAGCGAAGTGATATCCCCATTAGCAACTCCTTTCAAGAGAACCTTGCAAAGATATGTGAATCAACTGATCCAGACGAAGAAGAAGAAAAAGAAACTTCACAGCCCTCTGAGGATGCCAATGGTAACGTCACTTTACCGGAAATGGAAGGGCCCAAAACAAATACTGGTAAAAAAACATTGTCGTCTTCCTCCTCTTTCGATTCCGAAGACGGTGGACTTCCATCCAGAAAAGGTTCCATAACTGATGACGACGCCTACATCATTTCGCCTGAATCTAGTTCTCCTAAAAAGAAATCGAATTTCGAGAAAACGAAACATAAGTTGGGCAAAGGTCTTAGGAAATTATCCATCACAGATAGTTTATTTTCACAGCCACCAGGTGGTGGTGGAAGGAGACTTTCTTTGCCTGCTTTTGCCTCATTGCCAGACTTTAAACACAAAAACAATAAATCTTCGAAGACTTCAGATGAAGAGAAGTCAGACTCTAAGTCAGGGAATGCAGTTTATGTAAATATGGTTGATGAAAAACCTGAACTTTTTGCACCTTTAGACAGTAAGTTAACAAGTTTTAGTTATTTTTATTTTATATATTAAAATAATATAAGTGCTACTTTGAGAATATGATATCAGATAATTTGGGTTATTAATGTGTTCCCTCTTTAAAAAAAAAAAAATCGTTAAATTGTTCAAAAATTGTTATTGGAATCTATGCAGGTGACAATTGTTTACTCTTTTTTGGATTAATTGCACAATAGGACTATCCACAGTTGTCATACCATAACTCAAAGTCAACTATAAAAGCATGATTCATTTTAGAGCTTTTTAAGTTGTTTCTACTCAAGATTTCTTAGTACATTTTTTTGTGATGCCACGCACATAGCTGTACATGTTATACGCAATCTGGCCAAAAACATTCCTTAACTTATCTTATGAATTTAGAATATATTAATGGCATGAATCCCGAGACATATATTATTATCCTATTAGTTTCCCCTTTCTGTAAACATGTAAACCTACATTTGGAATCTGATTTTTTTTGTCGAGGTTGTCATCTTGAGGAGGAGACTTCAGGACATAAACTTTGATTGTGAAGTCTATTCTGCTCAAAGATTTGAGCATTTAGGGCAACATTGCATTAAAGCCTGGGAAATACATGATATTTTTTTCATTCATTTGCTGAACTTTGTTTCAGCTATAAAGCTTTTCTGCTAGTCATGATTTACGGTTTGGGTACAATTGACATCTGGTCGATGTGCCCTGCTCTTTGGAGCTGCCCAATCTAAGTCTAAGCCTATATTGCTGTAGGGGAGTTTCCATCAGTTTTTATGGGCGGTCATAAAAGTTAACTTCTAGGTGTCTGCCATAGCTGAAGTGAGTGTTAGTAGTGAGGATGGTCGATTAGCCTGGCTGTGTAATCAGTGTTCAAATTCGCCTTTTAATAAGGGCTTAGGCATCCAGTTTTAGACCACCCATTTCATCAAAGTATGGTTTTGCAGTTTTCCATGTGAATGAAGGCATTTACATGCTGTAAAAAAAATGGACTTTCCCCAAAATATTACCATAGAGTTGGGAGAGCAGAATCTCCACATCTATCTCATGCTTCTAACAACATGAACTGAGGAACCCAAACCAAACTATGAAAAGTGCCCTCACACCATGATGATTTAGGTGGCTGTATGGAAATTTTCTTCTAGATAATGTGGTCAATATGGTTTATAAATGTAGATGAACCTAGTTTATGAGACTTATATTCTTAGATTTACTCTTCCTGTTTAAAATTAGATTCTGTTCTGATAATGTTTGATGTATCACCGAACATCTTTGAAAAAGCTTTGCTAAAAAAATAAAATGGAGAAGAAATTAAGAATTTTGCTGAAGACAGAAAGATTTAAAGAATATCGACCTTTTATAAAGGAAAAAAAAATTGCAACCTAAGTTTCCAGAACAATTTCCGTTTATCTTATGAAATTTTTCTATTTTTCTCATGTGGAAAAAATCAGATAATCTTCTTTGATAACTGATATATTAAAATATAATTTGAAACAATTTTAGCAACAAAAGCTGATGGAATAATTTTGTTCAAATTTTTTTTACAGTGTAGAATATAAATTACAAGACACATTATTTCATGAGTCTAAAATTGAGCTACGCAATTAGTGTTGATCTATTTGTTGAGTTTATGTGTAAGATTCTTCAGTTTTTAATCAATTCAATGCTTTAATTTTGAAAAATTTGTTTAAAAAAATTTTTTTCAATAAAATATTGAACTATTTCTGTTCTAGATGATTCTACAGAATTTTATTTGAAATTTTTTTTAATAACATATTCCATTAGTTTTGTATAGAACTAAGTCATGTTTCATTTTATTAATATGTTTTTTAATGGAATGAATTTAATGTGCATATATGCACTGTTTGTTTTAAAAGTTTGTTGTCTGAGTGCATGATAATTAATCAAAATTTTTGCCTTTTGTAACAGTATATCTGTGTGAATTTAAACTTAATAGAAAACAATCTATTAAATGCTTAAAAATTTATTGGTGATCAACATAAATTTCAATTGCTTTAAATAATGTTTTGCCAAAGTAATTAAGTAATAAATATTTTCCCTCACATTCATTTGACGCGTGTTTTTTTTTTTTTTGGCCAGGAAACTGAGTTGATTTTTCTTTAATATCTACTTACTGGTTTAATAGTAACTGGCTATTTAAATTTTGTTTTTTTAAGCTTTTTTTTCTAAACCGAAAAGTATTGTTTGGTGATTTTAGTCAAATTTCTATCAATAATTTGTTTTCATTTGTGTATTTACATGCCCCTCAAATCTTTATGATATGGATGTCTTGGATGAAAACATGGGTTTGTGAACTCTTTTATATTTTTTCATTTTTTTTTTCAAACTATGTTACATTGGTCTAAATATCTACATTGATACATTTCAGAAAAATACATTTTCAGTATGCCTTTGAATCTTGATTCCCTAGATTTATAGCACAGTATATTTTTTAAAAAAAATGTTTTTTTTTTAGTTGCTTTTTGTAGACTTAAGTTGGATATTCTTTGTCAAATTCAAGCATGTTTTCTTTTTCTATTTTCATTCTCACTTTATTTTATTAAGTTACTATTAACTTCTTTACCTGGTAGCAGAAACCCTCTAGCTGGTCAGCGAGCGATGCAAATTATCACATTATCTGTAGATTGTTAAAATTTAAAAAAAAAAAAAAAAAAAAAAAAAAANAAAAAAAAAAAAAAAAAAAAAAAAAAAAAAAAAAAAAAAAAAAAAATAGGGAAAAAAAAACTTAAAAATCAACATTAAAGATAAAATGAAAAAGAAAAGATTTTTTTTATTTTCATTTATAAAAAATAGTTTAACACATTAAAAAAAAATTTGATACCCAAAAAATGACACGTAATATTACTTTTGCTGATTATTATTTTTTTTTTTAGATTTTTTTAATTTTATTTTCTTTTATAAAAATTAGTTTCTCACATTTAAAAAAAATTGATGCCCACAAAAAAAAAAAGAAAGACGCATAATGTTACTTTTTCTAATTTAATTAGTTTTTTATTTGTCTGCAAAGTATCTGCGATAATATGGTAATGAATTTTATATGAAGAAACTTTAAATAAGCGCAAATTGCAGCTCCACAGATTAGAATTCTGTTAATTTCTTCCTTTAAAACAAAAAGCTTTTATTTTAATATCATCTGCAAGTTAATCCTTTCTTTCCGATTTCTTTTTTTAGTTTTAGTGTCAGCATTTGTTTTTTTTTTCTCTCCTTTTGGGCTAATCTAAAATATGATATTGAAATCAAATTAAATTTAGACAACATTAAATTTTTGTATAAAACTTTACAATATTTAATTTTCATACATTAAATATAAATTTGATTTGGCTTCATTTTTTAAAATTTAATAATAATCTCTGCCTAACTGGGTTGAAGTCATAGACGAATTTGAATTTCAAAGCTAGCGCTGCAGATTGACTCTGGGAATTCTGCTTCCAGGCTACCGAGGTTTTTTATAAATAAGGTGACTGAAAATATAATAGAATGCAAAAATTAGGTAACTGAATTTTTTTTCATTTTTTCAACTTATATTTTTGTTTGAATATTTGATGAACTTGAATGCTTATTAGTTTACAAGATAGAAACTACTGAAACATCACAATACATAAAATAGAAAACAATTTATAAATTTTACGCTCAAGTTTCTTGTAAACTCAAAAAAATTAGTTATATATTTTCTTTTCATATTTAGTTGGAAATAGTTTTCCGTCATAGACTTCAACAATAATAATAATATTTTTTTATATTATATGCTATTTTCTTACATTTTATGCTGAAAATAATTTTCTAAAAAACAATTCGAAATATATAAATTTTTTCCCTTAATTTATTTTGTATATATTCTTAAAAAATTAATTTTTCCCCCCAAATAATTTATTTTATTATAAATTTAAATAGAATGATAAATTCAGAAGCTTTGGCAAAATAACTATCCACACTTTATGGTTAACTAACAAATGGACTCCCACTGGTGTTGCGTAATTTATTCTCTCCAACATTTAATAGAAAATCGCAATCATCGAATAAGGAAGTCTGTCGGAGTAAAAATACATCTTCAATTTGTTTACAAGTGGTTAACTTACATAGTTTTTAGGCTATGTTTTTTAATATTTTTATTTATTTCTTTTTTTATATATTTTAAACATACAAAAATGGTTAAGTAAAATGCAAAAGTTTAAAAATTATTTTATATAAATTTGAAACCTTTTGAATTATTTCCTTATGTTAAAGGTGATGAAGGTTATGGGTGATAAAGACCAATTTAATGCAGTTGGTGAATTTGGAAGTGTTTCAAAGTAACAAATAACTTATATGTTCTTAATAGCACTGAGAAAAACAGTTTGTGAAGTTCTGTGCTTGTTGATTTAAAAAAAAAAAATTATAAAATAATTCGATGTATAAACCCGTTAAGAAAAAAATTTGGTATCACAAATGTTTTATTTCTGTTGAAAAATGATTTGCAGACTTTGTAACTGCCCTGAAAAAATCCTATTTTGTCAAATCATTATCACATTGTAAAATTTCATGTTCAAAGCTTTTAGGTATGTACCTTTTGCTATCCGCGTAACGTTCATAGCAACTTAAATAAATGGAAGGAGTTTTCAAATTTGGTACAAATTTCTTCCATTTATGAAAATAACTATTTCATTATAATTAATTCTTTTTAAATAGTGCAGCTAAGTTCAAGAAATCAAAATAATATACTTGTAGACCTTAAAACATGGTGTGTAGTGTTTTTAAAAAGTACTTAAAGGTACTTATTTTTGATTTACGTTTTTTAAAAGCCCTTAAAAGTGCTTAATTTTCTACCTTTTAAAAAGAGATTTTTTCTTTGTCATGTCGATTGTCGTCATAAATTACAACAGAAATGCATGATTTCACTTTTTTGAAAATGTTTTTGAATTTTAACTTTAAAGATAACTTTAAATGATAGAAGAAAAAATTTTTTATTACTGTACAGATCCTAATTATGATTTTTTTTCTCTATTTTTTAGAAAGTGATTAAAAATATTTTTTGAGTGCTTAAAAAGTACTGAAAAGGTGCTTATTTTTTGTTGAAAAATCTGGCTATGCACCCTGTAAAAATATGCTTATGAGTCTGAATGTTTTGAAAGTGCCGTTATTCTCAAAGAAACCCAGTATTAGTTATTTTCCACATACTACATTTTGTACGGATATAAAGCACCGGTGTTTTAAATTTTGATCCCAAAATTTTATTATGTGCTCTCAGTTTTGGCTCATGAAGCTTTCCAAGTCAATTTCCAATCATTTTTCCATAGTGATCGGAGAGCTTCAGTGAGTAACCCTGCAGTCTATCCATTTTGATATCTACTTAGTAGATAAAGTTGAACCAAAGTAATGAATGAGAGTGTTCATATTTCAGAACTGATCCCACGACCAGCCAAGTCATTTTGTGATACGCCTCTCTACTTATGCTTGAGAATGGGTATGCCAATAGAGAAACCACCCATCTCACCCAACTCCATTATACACTATGGTCATAAAATGAAGCATGAATACTGGTTCAGCATCCCTAAAGACAGGTTTGTCTCTTTCTTTTAACCTAGAATTACATAATATTATTAATTCATTACTTACAGCACTTTAGAAACTTTATAGCAGAAAAAGGTTAAAAGTAAATGTCTCTGAAACATTGAGCAATAAATGGGTATTATTTTCTAAATTAGTTTGTCGTGGAACCGGCCAATTAACGAGGTTCGAGCGCCAAAGAGCCGCTACTTCAGAACCTGTAGTCCTGTGTAATAATCCAGTTGTAACAATTACCCAAAAAGTGCATGTACAGAACTGCGATACTAATACTGCTGTGGTCATATAACAAAAGTGTTCTTACTTTCCAGACATACTTCATATTTAATTTGAAAAAATCAGGTACTTTTTCTTAGAATCCCTACATAGTCTAGTTTTTTAAACTTTATATTTTTCTATTCTTCTATTTTTTTTTTAATTCTTTGGCCATCATTTTCATGTTTCTGGCAATTGTATCTTCTGGCAGCATTCCTTATTTGAAGAGATATCAATTTTTAACAAATATTTTAGTATTGGGTTCTGAATGGACTCAGTATATATAAACTTTGATAGTTGATTTTTGTTCAATTAAATGTTATATTGTTAATATATAAACTTATTTTATTGTTTAAAATGCCAAATCAAATGAAGTTGTCATTTTGCATTTTAAAAATTTCTCCTGAAAAATATTTATGTTACTTTGGAAAAGCTGTGTTGCTTGATTGACACCTAAGTGAGAATTTATTTTAAAAGGATGACTTTTTAGGTAACTTTATTTATTCTAACATTTCTGTTTTATGAATTTTTTTCAGTGTGGATGATTTGTATTTCTTCTTTTTGCGTTGGTGTCCAGAGAAATATGGTGATATAGATAAAATTGACATGACAGAGCTTGGGTTTACTCCTATAGAAATAGATGACGAAGACATATTGGAAGAAAAAGTAGCGCATAACTACCGTAGGTCCAGCTGGGCCTTTCCTTGGCGCAGAAAGTCGAAGGATGTTTCGGAAGTCTCTAATATATCTAGTCCCGAGGGCCACGATTGGGAGGTGAGCTCTTTTTTAAAGTTTATTCTATTACCCAATATGTTAAACACTCGTACATATTTTCGAACTGTAGTTTTTAACCTACTTGTTTTTTAAAATTATAGTTATAACTAGAGATGTACCGTGTCCTAAAATTTTGCCAGGTTCGGTGTACCCGGTAAAAATTGGAATCACTGATTGTTATTACTGATGTTGAAAAATTTATGTGGTGGTTTTGCTGTCTTTAATGGTGCAATTCAATTTCTATATCCTAGTCAGTTTGATCCCTGAACGATAAAGTTACTCCTCACTAACAAACAAGCAACAAACAATGGACAAAACTGTATCAATGCAAAAATATTATCTATGAAACTAAGAATAAGTGCAAGTTAAGTATAGGATTTCAATTAACTACTATATTATTTGATTGGGCCGGGATAGCCTGGTTAGTAGGGCACTTGGCCTGTGTCCGAGAGGCCGTGGGTTCGATCCCCGTCGGCTGAAAACACCCCGCGTAGTAAATGGTGACTGATGCATGTTAAATCTGTCGAGCCACAAAGTCCTCCATAACAAATCAAACCTCTGGGGGTATTGATCCAGAAATTTCTTTGTCTTCTGGATTGGGTCCTAAAGTACAAGGCTACGGAGTTGAACATGAGTAGTCGTAAACCCAAAATTGGATGGGCTGTTCGACGGCGGTTTTAAAATGAAATATATTATTTGATTAATTCTGTTACATTTATATACCTAAATTTAGAACTAAGTTTGGGCACATAAAATCAAATTTAGCATGGAAGCTGATTATTTTTTACTCTTTTTTGTTTGGTTATTTATATAGTTTACCATTGCTGGTATTATTAGTTTTTTATAATTGACATTTGATTAAGTTAAAGTTATTCCACATCATTTGGCACTAAACTGACTATTTTAAAATTTTATATGTTGTGTCTTAGACTTTCAAAAATTATTATTGCAATGTTTCAAAGCAATAATCCAAAAAACTTAACTAATGAAAGATGCTATAATTACTTATTATACATAATAATTATAAAAAAAATTATGTAAAAGTAAAATTTAAAATTAGACTGGAAATGCTTTAACCCGAGAATTTTCATCCTACTTGAAACAACTTTTTATGTATATTTTAAATTATATTGTAATTGCAGTAAAAAATATGCTCTATTTGTTAAAAAAATGATTTACATAGAACAGTTAAAGGAATTTTTAAAAATATTTTTCCAGTTTTTGGATTACATGGGATCACGAATGGAAAAAGACCATCCTCCAGAGTTGTTGACTCCTTCAAAAATATTGAACGATGACCAACTTCTAGAAGTGAGGCCCTTTCTTAATTCATTGTATTATTAAAAAATATTTTTGAGATGGAATTTATTGATATAGTAAAAATTCTTAAATTATTCAATGCATTATCAAAATTTTTTATTGAATTACATAGAAATTTTTTAATTAAGCAGATAGTCTAAATTTATGTAACAAAGTTTCAAATGTTTTAGTGATATGTTAAGTACTGTTTATCGTATACTCTGTTGTTAAATATTGATATTTTTCATAGTTTCTGTTGCAGAACTGTTTTAGTATTCACTCATAAATTTTTAATTTGATTGTTTGTTTAATTTAAAATCTGAGCAAATGTTAAGATGCTATGTTAATTTTGGATAGATATTTGCCTAAACAGCTGGACCAAAAATACAACTTAGTCTGCCAAAACACAGATATTTAGCCATTATTTGATTTGATACTATATATTCTTCATATCTCTAATTGAACTTGAATATATCTTTCATAAATATAAAACATGTTTTGGCTTTTTTTAAATTTTACCACTAATAATAAAAAAGAATTCTAGGAAAATTGAATAAAAGTTTTAAAATCAAAATCAATTAAGCATTCCAAGCTAAAAAAAAAGGGAAAGCAAAACTGTGGGAAACTGTGTAGGAGTGATTAATCAGGATTATAATAATTTTTTTCCCTGCATGTTTGAATTTTTTTATTTGCAGATAAGCAAACACTTACCAGCCAGAGCCATGAACCCATGGGAGTTAATATACGGGACTACTGATCATGGTTTCAGCCTTAAAACTATGTACAGAGCTATGTCTAAATATGACAGTCCTGTCCTCATTGTAGTGGTCAACCGTAGTGACGTTGTGAGTATCCTCTCATTCTATAATTTATATCTCTTGTCCAGAGGCTGCCAATACCAATCCACACTCTTCAAACATTTTACTGCGAATGAAAGTACTATTTGTAATTTTTTTCGTAAAAACTTATAGGATATTTTTTTAATTTTGTTGAAAAAAGACCTCAGTAGATTGAATGCATGATGACTTTTATAAATTCATCTGTGATGAATATAGAGAGGGCAGCCTTTTCACGTATTCTGAATTCAGGAAATTCATTGCTATTGCTCTAACATTGCCAATAATTGTGACTGCTCGGGAAAGTGGTTTTGAATCCCAAAATAAAATAAAATTTGGAAAAAATAAACTATGAATAATTTTTTAAGCATTTGGATGGCCTTTCCAGATGATCATGATGGGACTAAACTGCTCCTGGTAACAATGAAATCTTTGATTAAAAAATGATATGGAATATTGTTTTAGGTTAAATATTTAATCAACTGTTACCGAGGACTTACCTAACATCAGTTATAAAGTAATGTGTGTTATTAATTGGCAATAATTTACAAACTTAATCTGAGCCTTAAATTCACTCCTCAATTTTAAGTTTCACTCCTCAAATTAATAAAAGAATGAGATAACTCTCTAATTTTTTTTTTTTTTTTTTTTTGGAAAACGCTGCTCTGGTTACCACATATTATGATTCTTTTTAAACATTGAGTATTTTTTAAATCTATTATTAGATTTTAACCTTTTAACTACTTCATTTTATTATTTTTGCTATCTATAATTTTATTTAATAATGTTGTAAATGAAATTTTGTTTGACACTTATTACTCACAAGTAATTAAAAAAATTGATCTGGACAGATAAATTTAATTTTGAAAAGTAGCTTCAAATATCAAATAAAATTATATATTTATTCTAATTATGGATGGAATTTTAAATCAGAAAATGTTGTCTTGTCGTTCTGTTGTTTCTCTTCGTTTTGGCTTTTATATTTTCTATTAATTTGGATTTTAATGATTTTAAAGTCACTACATCTAAATGAAAAAAATGGCAATTAATGAGGCACTGAGGCCATGTTTTTTTTTTTTTTTTTTAAAGTTTTACTTTGCTTAAAATAATTTTATTTCATTTGCTATGTGTTGCATAAAATCTGATGTTTTAAATTGTCGTTAAAATTTTATTCTTTCAAATGTAGGAAGAGAATCGGTTATCTTTAACAGTAAAAAGAAGTATTTTAAGAAATTAATCGTCATATTTTGTTTGATTTTTTCCCCAGATGTTTGGAGCATATCTCTCTCACACACTGCGGTTGAGTGATCACTTCTATGGAACAGGGGAATCCTTTCTTTTCACATTCTCTCCAGAATTCAAGGTCATTCTCTTTCTCATATCAAATACATAATGTCTCACTTGATTTATTTTATTTTATTACTATTGATGTACAAAAAAGAAGAAAAAAAATTGAAAACCCTGATTAACTTTTGATTGGAATTTCACGTGCTAAGATTTAAAGATGGCTGGAAAGTGTTACCTAAAATTTGCTGATTCATTAGTACAGTATTTTAAGTAACAAAATTAGACATAAAAACATAATTTCTCCGAAGAAACATACCTTTTTATGAGAGATTGTAATTCCTGACTTTTAAAATATGGAGGGTAGTTACAATCTGGAAAGTTGTTGTTTGAATATTTTTTGTAAAATCTAATTTATAAAAGCGAGGTTTAAAGTTTGATATTGCGCTTTGATGAACAAGTTTTTTAAAATGCGAAAACTTTGAAACTATTTGATTGATTGCGTTGAAATTTTATATTTGCCATTTAAAAATACATTTGTTAAAAAGATGTAAAAATTTATATACCTCACAATTCAGGTAATGTATGTTTACTTGGATTTTTGAGTTTGATTTCGTAATTTGAAATAGTGTCTGTACTCTTTAATTAGCATATTTGAGATCTTGGAACCATTGAAATTCAGTTAAAATATGTGAAAATCTGATCATTAGATTAGGGTGCTCCATTTGTTTTTTTTATTGATTATTGCTCATTCTATCCAAGTTTTGGATTTTCTCTTGTGTTATATTAACTATATTTAGCTTACACTTGTTGATAATCATGTTGAGAGCAAAGCAGTCAAGTTAATGTGACTGTAAAAACTGCTTCTTTTTAACTAGTAGAAAAGAGTTAAAAAAATTTTCAAATTTTTTTTTTTGTTTGTCTTGTTTTTTTTTGTTGTTTGTTTTTATTACATTAAACCCGAAGAAAAAAATGACGAAATTATTTTTTCGGGCATCTTTTTATTACAAAGGGCTCCTGAATATGCATCCCATCGAGTAACTCATAAAAGAGGAATAATAGAATCGACTTTTTGTGGAAGGTAGAAAAAATGAAGAATGCTAAATCAGCTGTTTGTCTATTGATTTTAACTCTTCCTAGTTTTAAATTTTCACATTTATATAGCTTATTATTAAACTTTGAGTATTTTTGCTTTAATCATTTATCTTATAATGGGTAACATGTATTTTCCATGACATGGAAGTGGTGGTTACCCGTTCCACCCTTCTGATGCATTCCTCGGACACACGCTGTTTATCTTAAGGGATGGGGTACAGTAATATGGTTAAATTGGGAAAGACAAATATAGTTGAGGTATACTTCCATTATTATTTTTCTTAGTGAGGAATATTCATCACAGATTTCTTTGGCAAAGATTTATTAATTACCACATTTATGTTGTAAAGAAAAGAATAAGAAAAAACTATTAAATGGGAAATGCATTTCTCAATATGAACTGATTTTTAGATTGTCATTATCATAGATGAGCTTTTTTTACATTTTACCTCAGCATTGAGCACATCTTTTTCATTATAATTTTGCAGTATCAAACTTCCTCATCAATGCTAGCATATCATGTTGTTACGTTTTTTTGAACCTTTCCTGCAAACCATTACTGTCTTTGAAGTTTAAATAGCCTTATTCTTCTCCAAAAGAATCAGATTCTTCTTTAATTTAAAGTCCGTCGATGAGTTCTCCATTGCGTAATCCACATTAGATATTTCTCCATTTCAGGAAATGAAGTAGTTTCAGTTTTTTACATTATCTTCTCCATCATCCAACTTCTCTAGGGTAAAAGCTTTACTTTTTAGAATTTTTGATGCTTGAAATTCTAAACTCTTTTGCAATTTTCTTTTTCAAACACTTTTCTACTTCATCGATAATTTGCTTCTTCTCTTCAATAGTATTGAATTCTTGTTTGTCAACCAAATTTGAGCAAAGGATCTCACCTTCTCCAAATGATCTAAGATGATTTTTCAGGAGTGGTACAAGATAGCTTGAATGGGCATTCACATGCTGTATCTTTCACCTCTTGTTAGGATGATTCTACAATATTCTTTAAATTCAGACCCACCCACCTCATTCCTCTCCATGTTTTATTTGTTGAAGTCACTCCCACACCCTTGTAAAATAAAAATCAATTTAGAGTGGTCAGTGCATCTACAGTCTGATAAGGAAACAATAAGCAACTCCCCTCTTTGGGCATCAATAGAAGTTTAGTTTTAATTGTGTTGTTTGCTATCATCCCTCCTTTTAAAGCTTAGGCAGGGTTTTCCTTCTAAATACTTGAAATATTCTATTTTTTGAAAAAATGTCTCTTTTTTGAAAAAAAAGATTTTTTTTTTGCATCTAAAAAAAAAATTCTAGTCATTAAGCAAAAAGCAAAGAAAAAAATTATAAAATCAGGGTTTTTTAATGTGGAGTGTATAGGAAATTTGAAGGAATAGGGATTTAAGGAAAAGAGTTTTTTTTTCCATGAATTGTCGAAAAAATGTGTTAAGCTCGAGTTAGCAAGGTTTAAATGTATTATTATTATTTTTAAATCTGTGATTGTTTTAGAATTTTATTTTGAATTGAATAGATTATTTAAAGTAAACTCTTTTTTGAGAATGATATACATCTACTTTTTTAAAAATAATTTTAGAAAATAGTGTTGGTTTTAATATTAAGAAAAAATGGCTTAAATGTGATTTATATTTATTCTATTGTATCTCAATTCACTTTTTCCCCCCTCTTGTTTACTAATAAGTAATATTTTTTGTTGATTTTAAGATTTAACAATTATGAAATAATTTAATAATTATGAAATAATGTATTTATTCTATGTTTCAATTTTTTTTGCATTGTAAGTTTTTAAAGCTTTAAATCATTATCTAAAATTTGGGTTATTCTTAATAAATTCAGTTAATGAGTATCTTTTTTTGATTTTATTACATAAAAACAGACATACATTTTTAATAAAGAGATTTAAAGCTCATATCTCTATCTGGTGATGTTTATTAAAGAAATGTAATGACAATGGATCATTTTACTTCGTATTATTGTAATATATTATTTAAAAATAAATAAAGCTGTTAGTGTGAAAGTTGGCAACAGTTATCTTTGTGGTGAAAAAGTGATTAAACTTTAAGGAAATTTAGCGTTGTGAAAAGAACTAAAAAATTTTGCGAGATATTTTTCCATCTAAATCAGAATTATTTGATTGTATTGCATCTAAAAATAGTAAAAAATTTTTAAAATATTTTTTTTTAAATGAAACAAAGTTTGCAGGCAAAATATAGTAATGTGCTAAATATTATTTAAAAATTTTAAATGGAGGTTAATATTAAAAAAGGAATGAAATTAGTTTTTACTAATGAATGAATAAATTATTCCAGGTTTACAATTGGTCTGGAGAAAACGACTATTTCATAAAAGGCAACACTGACAGTTTTATAGTTGGATCTTCAGAGTAAGTATATAGATATATTTATCACCTTTGATGTTGTAGTGTAAAACAACCTATGTAATATGCATGCTGTTCAATTTGTTGTGAAATTGCATGGAAACTGAAGAAGTTGCATATCTCACCAACATTTTAATCTGCCTACTGTTAGTTGTTGCATTGGCTTACAACACGCTCTTTCCAAAAGCGTCAAGATAATAAAATGTTGTAAATAATAGAGTGGGTCAAAAAAAATTAATTTTAAAATTTCAGAATGCTCTAGTGTGGAAGAGTTATCTATTGTATAAGGAAAAAAAGTGGCATAGAATTTTTTAAAATCGATTAATATCTCTTACATCGTATTTAAAATGAATAAAAACTTAAGAAAATCATGCCTTTTTTAATTTTTTTTATAATTGGCTAAGAACGCAGACAAAAACGACCAAATTCTTAGAAACTTTGTTTTTACTTTCAGAATTTATAGCAGTAATAAAGTATTCTTGAATGAATGCAGTATTTTTTGAATGAATTCGATAAACATAATAATTTTTGTTTAAAAAAATAAGTAAAAAAAAAAATACCCCTTGAAATTCATTAAGTCAAAAATTATATTTCGTTTCTTATAAAAGCTGAAAAAAGTAATTTTGGAATTTTAATTAATGACAATTTTTCAATTTGTTATATAGATATGCTGTATTGAATCCACTCATAATTGAGCACCAGGTTTTATTTTTAAATTATTCATATGATGAACTGAATTTTTGTATGGTAAAATTCGAGAAAGAAGAAAACAGTATTTTTATTCAAAATAAAAAATAAAATAATACCAGCTAGTACTACAAAATAGTGTCTTACCGTGGCTTACTGGCTAGTACTACTAAAAAAGAAATATTTCCTTGAAGAAAGTAAGTGTTTCTGGAAGCAAGACACACAGATGAGACACTAATGGTGATTTGACAAGGTGTCTAAGTAACCAATATCAGAATAATTATAGTCTTCGAATATTTAAAGATTGGATGAATTCTCTTTCTGAAAATACTATACATACATTGTACTTAGTTTACTTTGTTTAAATGCACATTTTTTACCATTCTCAAACTTTTTTTAGAACCTTTAGAGTCTAACAACTCCCTTTCAATATCACAACTGGATTCTTGGAAAATATCATGCAATAACTTTTGCAAACAATTCATTGAGTGTTCAAAACAGTCACCCTTTCAGGAAAATTCAATCCTTAATAGTGTTTGAAAAAAAGAAGTTAGCTATTAAAGAATAAATAATTCATTGAATTTAAAAATTAAAATAAAATGAATTTTAAGAATTTCACAATTTTTTTTTCATGAAAATTTTCAGAAAAAGTGTAAAAAAAATTTTTGTTGACATTTCTGTTACAAATACTTGCACTTTTTCTCAAAGAAAAGTACTGAATTTAATAAGTAATGAAAGACAAGAAAAAGTATATACATTTTACTTTAATTTTGGTTACAAAAAAATGGAAGTAAAAGTATTGCCTTGCATAGTCTATACTTATGCCTTCAAAATCACTCTTTGTACTCATAGAGGGTATCATTTCATGTCAGTAATTAGTAAATATTTTGATGGGTTGCTTAAGAAAACTGAAAGATTTCATTTTCATCATTTAGTTTGGCCTCATGGCTTCCAGATTTTGCTGAAAGGATATAATATTATAGTAAGAAAAGTATCACCAGGCAGGAGCAGAAATCAATGAATTCAGCTAACCATTCATAAGTTTAGATTCTGCTTGGTGCAAATGGTTCATTGAAAATGAGGGATAGTGACTTTAAAGATAAAATTTCTTTACATCCATTTTACAAGACATTTTTTAAATAGTTATATAAAAATCAACTTTAAGTACCTCATAGTGCTTTTAATAAAAAAAAAGTTAAAATAAATAAAGTTAAATTTTCTGAGTTAATGGATGAAAACATTTTGAAACACAATGTTGCTTATATAATTGAAACATTTTGAACATCAGAATGATGACTTCACGTAAGTAAATGTTCATAAGTAAATACTTTAAAGTAAATGTTCTCAAATATACATTCTTAATTATATGCAAAATAGTTGATCAGATAGCATTCCAATTCTGATTATCTTTTTTCTTTGTTTTTGTAGGGGTCATTTTGGACTGTGGCTAGATGATGACTTGTTTCGTGGTCGGACCAATTCCTGCCAGACTTTTGCTAATGAGCCACTCTGCCCGGACGAGGATTTTGAAGTGAAATCTCTGGAGGCTTGGGCATTTGTCTGACATGATGAGTTTGTACAGAAGCCATGACTATACATATATATTATATGTTGATGTTAAATCCGGTGTATTTTTATGTTGAATTTTAATTTATTTTCCTTGTTGAACTTTTCTGTTATATCAGAAAAAGAAACTAAGTCTCTTTTTTGAGTGTTTTGTCTCTTTTAATTTATTCAGAATTTGCCTCTCTTCTTTCATAATGCCTACTATAAATTGATAAATAATATTTATTTAAATCAAAAATATTCTAAAACAGTGGTGATTGTACACCGGAATTCTGGGTTTTTCGGATCATCCTTCCAGTTCTAGAAACTCCGGGCACGTGATTTTTCCGCGTACTTCAACACCATAAATTCGCTGACTTCTATGAATCAAAACTAAAGTTAGAATTAAGAGTTCTTCAATCTGAAATTTAAATGTTCAAACTTTTGCTAAATCGCGTTAATCAGACAGTTTCATAAAGGTGATTCTTCTGCCAATTAAACATTTTTTTTGCTTTGTCGGATTTTCCAATATTGCAAAAATCCAATATCGCTATTTGTATTTTCGTGTTTTTTATATCAATATCGCTATTCATATTCACACTTTTTTAAAATCCAATATTGTGATTTGTATTCACGCGAGTTTAAATGGGCTATAATGTTGCTATTCGTATTCGTAAAAGAATGCAAAAACCGTCCTACCCTCAGTTGGGCATTCGGAAAGTTGACTCGCCATCACGACAGTCCTCCCGAGAGGACCGCCAGCACATGCGCCCGGCCGACCAAACAGATTGGCAAGGCCACACCCTTGGCATTTTTTAAAACCAAAATCATTACAAAGTTACAATAGATTGCAACAGCAATACAGTAGATAAAGACATGTTATTTGCTCCTGGAGACCAGTTTTATAGTTCAAAAGCCGACGGGACTTCCCTTATAGTGAGCCAGGCAGTTTCATTTATCAAAATTTACATTAAAACATCATTTTGGTTTGTGATGACATTAAGAGTTCTATGTTGTACATAGAACTCATAGAATACATTGAGTTGGTAAAAACATAGTGTTGCAAAGCTAAATATTCCCTAAAATCAATTGTAGATAAACAAACTGACATCATAACAAAATTGGCTTGGACCATCCATGTTAAAAGGTATTGATTTAAATAGAAAATATGCAAAATCAAATAAATTTGAACAAAGGATTTAAAGTAGAAGAAGCCAAAAGGCGAGTAATAAAATACAAAGTTGAAGCATGAAAGATATAAAAGTTAAACGTATATAAAAGGGTAATATCACCAGGAAAAAAATTAAGTAAAATAGACTATGTGATAAAACTCGGTTGAGGATCGAAGTTAAAACCAGGTGAAGTGTATAAAAGCAAATGTTTTTAAAGTTAACCAAAACATTGCGTTAAAAATATGACAGGTGGTGAGAGACAGATTTGAAAGACCTGAATCGCTAGTTGGTGTAAAGGGGGGTCCATGAGGTCATCGGGTGCTATTAAGTCTTCCAAAGTGCGTTTTATGATCTCACTTATTATTAGTTTTTGCTGATTTAATTTGCACCATGGTTACTCTTTTATTAAATTGTTTTCCACTGAGTGTTGAGAACTTCTCGCATTCTGTAATTGGATGTGTAATTGTTTGGTGACTGCCGCAGTATTTACTTGCTTGGTACTCTCCAAACACTCCGTGACATCGATTTTTGTATTTATACGCTATTTAAAAGTCACTTATTGCGATTCATATTCAAGTTATCTAAAAATTATGTATCGCGATTCGTATTTACGGAATTTAAAAATTCAATATTGTGATTTGTATTTTCGCTTTCTTAAAATCTAATATCGCCATTCATATTCACGCGATTTTATAATCCGATGTCGCGATTCTAGTAAGAACTAAGTTTTTCCTTAAATTAGTTACTATAAAGTTGTGATATTTTTCATCGGTAGGTAATTTGATTATAAATCTTAATTAAAAAGTTGTATGAAATATGTACAGTAAATAAATTTATATCGAGTTTTTGAACATAAATTTTCTGAGTTCTTTACTTAAACTAAACAGGGTTCTTTACTATTATTCCTGCTAAAAATAATTATAAAAACAGAATAAAATACAAAAAATTTAAATCATTTTCATTTGGACTAAAAAGGCAAAAATAACACTGTGTTTTGTGAGTTAGTCCAAGATCAAAAAAGGAAAATAAATTTTTTTTTTGGCGACGATTTATGTTTATTGCAATAGATGTTGATCACTAATGGGGGAGGTGAGAGTTTCAATGTTGATTGAAGTCTCTTTGCAAAACTATGGGAGAAAACTATTGAAACTAACATAGTTTCAATGTTGATTGAAGTCTCTTTGCAAAAGTGACACGTATTTCGTTTTAGAAAATCGTCGATGATAAAGTGGTAAAAAATGTCGCACCTCTTTGACCACTTACGGAACAATTTATCGGTGAGCTTTTGATTCTGGGCACAACTCTCACTGAGTGTTTAAGAAAATGAACACAGCAAAAAAATGCACCTTTTCAGTGTTCAACTCTAATTCAATGCTTACGTTTTAAAACATTCAGCGCAATCATTACGAGATAAAGTCCCAGGATGATTACTTTTCAGGGAACTCTATCAGGGGGGAAGGTGGGCGCACGATGCGCCCACTTCAAGCTTGGGGGGAATTTTTACACTAAATAAAACGAATAGTTCAGGGGGGGATTTAGAATGCGCNGCGCCCAAGAGCTTGGGGGGGGGATGGGGGCCACTGGAACTCTTCATATTAAGAACACAAAACTATGAAGAGGTTAAAAAAAAATCCAAATTTTTACAACTTCCATTTAATGCAACTAGACCCGTGACAACATTATAAAAAGAACTTCTGACTTTTAATATCTCTTCCATAAAGACTAATTTTTTTTAAAAAAAATGTGCTTATTGCTTTAGGCCAGTGTTTCTTAACCTTTTTGATATAATGGACCCCTTTTAAAATTTTTTAAGAAGTCACGGACCACCCCCCTGTGAAAAAAAATAATTGCAAAAAACATCAATTATTAGAAAACATTTAATTTTATTATTTTAATAGCATGCAAAATTTTTAAGATTAAAATTTTTAATGCGAAGGTTGCTGCTGCTTTTCTTTAATTAATAAATTTAATTGGGGGGTGGTTTTCGACAAATCAAAGTGTATATCATGTTCAACATTCAATCAATTTCAATGTTATATTTTTATTGTCACAAGCTTGGAAAATTCCGCTTCGCAAAGATACATTGTAGCAAACGGAATTATAGCTGCCATATTTCGATTTACAAGCAATGGGTAGACTTCCAAACGTTTTAAAAATTAGGAATAGTCAGTGGACCCCCAAAATATAACTCATGGACCCCTTAGGGGTTCATAAACCACAGGTTAAGAAACACTGCTTTAGGCAAATGAACGACATTGAATTACAAATTTATTTCCCACAGTGGACTGATCGTAATGAATTTTTCCCACTAGATCACCAAAATTCTCTGGCTGCAGTTGGTGAGTGGCAGAGTTTGATCAGCCTGTGAAGGATCAATGGTTTGTGGGTCCACGTTCGCCCGCGAAGTGCTCGATTTCGCAGGCAGGTTTTCGGGCCACCTAAGCGAGGGGGCCATCTCCTCTGGAGAGGATTAGAATTATCTTTTGACAAAGATGGCATGTCTTATATGGTTTTTGAGACTGTCCTCTATAGCCCAATGTGTAACTTTAGTGTGCGTAAATAAAGTACTACATACCACAAATGGATCTAATAGTTTATTCCTTAAAAAAAAGAAAGAAAAAAAAAATTTCATAACGAAGTTTGAAAAACGGAATCGAGTGCTATGTCCATTTTCTTAAACATGTATTTTCAGCTGTGTCCTGATGAATTGAAACTTGTATCGTCAGACACAGATCTCTCCCATTGAAACCTTCATCACATTTTCTTTCCAATCCATTATTTCCCTCTATTTCAGCCTCTACCATTATTTTAATTGAAGATGATTTCTATTCAGCGATACTATGACACTACATTCTTCAAGTCGATGCAGGAAACAAGACTTGCCTTTTCGCCAAGCGCATAAGTGCTGTAAAAATTGGATCCTCTTAAGCTAAAAATAGCTGATGGGCGATGTATTTAAACTGACAATCATGTGGCAGTCAATTCTTTTTTTTGTCATCTAAACATTGAAACTGGATGGACATCATCCAACACAGAGCTTCGCATAAAATTTTACTGGCACAGCTGAAAGTGGATGGAATGGAACGATACATTCTGTTCATGGCGATCGGGAAATAGTGAGTACTTGTATTGTCATGTGGCACAGAGTTCCCGTTGACATTTGAGTCATGTGGCCAATCTTAAAGGGTCGGAATTAGAATGTGTCGATTAGATGTCGGAAAAATTCTCACTGTGTTGATTAGGAAACGATTAAAAACTTTCATTGTTATCGGAAACACGAATGGAGCTTCGTTTAAAATTTGAGTTTGTGCGAAGGTGATCGGAATAATTGCCATAGTCTACTGGATTTTGACAGTTTCTCCTTGTCTACTGGTTAAGTAAAAATTCTCCTGGTTTTTATGAATGTTAGAAAATTCTCTGAAATTGAGTAAGTTTTAAAAATAATACCCTTTTGAAATAGAATGTTGGCACAGCTTATGACTTGTTTGAATATTTAAATAAGTATTATTAATACATGGATGGTGTTTTCTATACTGGGGAACGCTGCAAGCTTCATACCGCCCGTACTTCCGGGTTACTGTTTCCAGGGTATTTTAAAGCCGTTTGGCTCACAACGTGATCATTGTGTTTTGAGATTTTCGCAAACGTGGTATTTGATTACCTATTACTTGTGCTTACAATGCTAAAAATACTTGTGTTTACAATGTTTAAGATGCTAACACTGACGTAAGATGGTGCACAGTTTGCAACAAGAGCAAACAGTAATAAACAAATAGAAAGACGCCAAATCAGGACTGCCAAAAAAGCGAGTTATTCAAAATCTAGCAATCTTGTCACCTTTTTTTAACAATATTTCTATCAATAACTAAAACAAATTTTCACTTCAAACTCACCAAAATTACTTAATAACACTAATATCTTGTGAAATACGGCAGATTTGAGCTCAGAAATCATCTAATTTACTTCTTTTATTTGAAACAAAATTATCCGTTTGAAA